ATTATATATACAAATGTTTAACTGAAGCAAATTCATAAGTTGTTCTATATTATGCAGCTATTTTATTAATTTGGGATATACACATGAATATTCAATATATAACAGAAACTTTCACATATCTCAATATCCATGAACATGATAAATTATGAGAACATGTAATAACTACACTCCCCTAGTAAAAATATTTGTGGAATGATAAAATTCGAAAATAATTGCTAAAATTAAAATGCTAATTGTGCACAATGAGTGATCTAAATTGTACAAACATTTTTTTATTAGATTCCCCTAAACTAGGGCTATCTTATGATATATTTTGTGATGAAATTGAACATCTATACATAGAGATATTACACTTCAAATGAAACTGACAAAAAATGATAAATTTATTCTTAGATCGTTACCTATATCGCATTCGATGAATATTAAAGATAGATACAAACTATCTTATACGAAATTGTAGCTAAAAGTAATATCTACAACTTTAATTATTGCGTCTTTCTTGGTACATAATAAAAGTTTTGACTTCACTTAGACGTGAATAAAAACGACCGTAATTTTAAAAAAATAAAAAGAATTTGAAAATAATTATATCGATCGTTTATATCTGAAAAACATGATTATTTATTAACTTAACAATAAATGTGGTATTAAGTCATCTTAAAGCCTGAAATATGGAGTATCATTTTTAAAAATTTCAGCATTATATATTGAGAATTGAGAGAACAATACACAATTAAACTTTAGAGTATAATTTTGAAATATCTGATATTCAACAGTTAATACTAAACTCAATTCTCAATTTAAAAATCTGAAATTTTCACAGTAAATACTCCATATTTTAAACTTAAATTGTAATTAGTACCATTTTTATTGTTATAATAATAGATAAAGAAGTTTTTATTTTTCAGATTTTTTTTTTTTTAATTTTTTAAAAATGATCGACACGAATTTACTACATTAAAAATTCAAAAATAATTACAAAACTTTTGTTTTTAATAATAAAATAGTAAAAGTTAAACTAAGTAACATTAAAGATAAAAATTGAATACATCTGCTATAAAAATTTTAAATTTTTTTAACAAAATTAAAAATATAATGATCGTTTGAATTTTAAAGAAATTTTTCGAATTTTTTAAAGCCGTGTCGATCATTTTTAAAAAATCAAAAAAAAAAATCTGAAAAATAATTACCAATCGGAACCATATATAAAAATATCTTTATCTATTAATATAAAAATAAAAATATACTAATTACAGTTAAATTTTAAAGTGTAGAGTATCTACTGTGAAAATTTCAGATTTTTAAATTGAGAATTGAGTTTAATATTAATGGTTGAATTTTGAACATTTCAAAATTATACTCTAAAGTTTAATTATGTATTGTTCTCTCAATCCTCAATATATATGGCTAAAATTTTTACAAAAGATGTTCCATATTTCAGGTTTTAAGGTGACTTAATATCACATTTATCACTAAGTTAATAAATAATCAAGTTTTTCAGGTATAAACAATCGATATAATTATTTTCGAATTCTTTTTATTTTTTAAAATTTCGGTCATTTTTATTCACGTCTAAGTGAAGTCAAAATTTTTATTAGATACTGAAAAAAATGTTGATGATTAAAGTTGTAGATATTATTTTTAGCTACAATTTCATATAAGATAGTTGCATCTATCTTTAATACCTATCGAATGCGATATAGGTAATGATCTAAGAATAAATTTATTATTTTTTGTCAGTTTCATTTGAAGTGTAATATCGCTTGTATAGACGTTCAATTTTATCACAAAATATATTATAAGATAGCTCTAGTTTAGGAAAATCTAATAAAAAAAAGTTTGCACAATTTAGATCACTCATTGTGCCACAATTAGTATTATAATTTTAGCAATTATTTTCGAATTTTATCATTCCACAAATACTTTTGCTAGGGGAGTGTAGATGATTAGAATTAATGGAATTAATTTTTTACTTTTAGAATATACTGTTTGTAATTCTTCAGCTACTGTAAACTTTTTAAATACTGAACCACCAACTATACGAACATGATCAATATTTCCAATCTATATGATTAATAAAAATGATGAAATTCCATATTATGATAATACAATAATGAAATATATGGCTTGATCACATTTGCCTGAATTTGAAAATTTAATATATTCTCAATATTTTGAAAGATATTCTATAACACCATTATCTCTATCATCAACTAATAGACAATCTTTATCAAGATAATTTAAATAATTATATTGTTAAAAGATCAAAGAAAATAATTATTAAATATCGATTTCTTAAAATTGAAGATAGTGAATTATATTTCTATAAACAACTATAGTTAAAAGTACCAACAAGAAGTAAGTTAGATTACAAAAATGGATCAAATGAAACATATCATGAAAAATTTTTATCACTCTTTCCTAATTATTTGATTGAATTACAAAATCAAATTGTAAATACACATCAATCACAAATAACATACTTTAATAATTGATTTATTAAAATCCTTGATTGGTTATTACAATCTTTAAATAATCAACTTACAACAAAATATTTCAGAAATAATATGAGTTCAATTAGATAACTTAAAAATTCTTCCACATGTTTATCTAGAAACAGCAATGTTAGAATTAACCCATGATCAATATTATGTGTTATCTACTATTTCAATGTAAATGGGAAAAAATAATAATAGAAAACAGCCATATTATTTTATAACTGGTTCAGCAGGAACTGGTAAATTATATATTATAAATATGATAAAAAATATACTTGATTGAAAGCAATCTAATTATATTTTATTAGCTCCAACTGGTGCGGCAGCTCAAAATATTAATAAAAAAACTATTAATTCAAGATTACAAATTAAATCAACACAAGGAGGTTTTCAAACTAAAGTTTTTGCAAATAAAGAATTAAGAGATGGCTTAATTGATGAAATATCAATGGTCTTAGATAAATTATTGAATTTTATTTCTAATCTTTTTGCAAGTCTTCACAATAATGCACTTGCATTTGGAGGTATTAATGTTATAGTTGTTGGTAATCTTGCCAGTTACCTCCAATTACAGGCCAACCTGTATTTAATGCAACAGTTTGGAAATTATTTTATTCACTTTTTTTAAAAATTTCTCAGCAACAAATTGGTGATGAATGATTTTTAAATTTATTAGAATAAGTATAAATTGGAAAAATTTCTGATGAAACATGACAAATGCTATAACAACATCATTCAGAATTTCTAAAAACACATTCTACTATCAACATATTACTTGATACAACACATATTGTAGGATTCAAAGAAAATGCACAACAAATTAATTGTATGATTTGTAATATGTTACCTGTACCTGATAACAAATTTCTAATTTCACAAGCAATTGATATTGTAAATTTAGCACCTTGGAATACTTCATTTACAAATCAGATGTTTAAATCAAAAACAAATTTACCTTCCAACATTCGATTGCAACCAGGTGCAAGAGTTATGTATCTTAATAATTCTCTTATTGAATATAAGATATGTAATGGTACTATAGGTATTGTAACATAAAAATCTTTAAGAACAAATATTCGAGTTGCATTTTCAGTTAGGGGATCTATAATTGATATAGATGTTCCAAAACAAACTCATTATTTTGAAATAAATGTAACTAATTGTCAACAAACTCAATATCCCCTGCAAAACTGTTTTGCTTTAACAGATCATAAAACACAAGGTTTAACTTTACCCAAAGTATGTCTTGCATTAGATGGAAATATATTTTCATCAGGACAAGCATATGTTGCCTTTAGTCAATTTCCCACTTGGGATAATATTGAAATATCTCACTTAGATCAATCAGCCTTTATGACTGATCAAAATGTCATCCAGGAATATCAAAGATTAACTGAAATTTCAAGATTAAATCCTCATGTACTTTCTTAAACTTAATAAAAATAAAAATCTCAACACTCTCCTTGATTTAATTTTTTAAACTAAATTAGAAAAATGTATAACAAATGTGACACAATTAACATTGTCAATTCCAATCTTATTCATGTGGTGGATACCCAAAAAAAATAAATGGCTATTTATTTATTAAAATTTTAATTACTTGATTACATTAAAAATTGTACTTGACACGATGATGAAATTTATATTTTTAACTGCATATTCTCCATCTTTTCCACACTAAATTAAATCTCGATAAGCATTTTATTCGTTGATCCAGATATCCATCATTCAGAATATGCACTAAACAGAAATATTATTTTCAATTATCTCATCAAGAAAATAGAAATCGATACATGTGAAGAGTATTATAAAGTATGTGATCAGGGTTGGTGGTGCAAACTATGTTTTTAATAAATGGACAAACGGAAATGAAAAATAGATAAATTTATTCAAGATTTCAACTAACTGCACCACATGAATCAAAAAAGAGTAATAGAATGGATTCTTTATCATAGATTAAAGAGATTGCAAAAGGTTGGTCTTGGTACTTGAAAATCAACGATGGAAAAGATGGCATTAAAAAATTTTTGATAATTTTGAAAATTCCAATGAAAAGTTCTTAAATGAGGTAATATATTGTTTGAATTATTTTTATGCAATTTTTTGAAATATATAATACATTGATTATAATTTATAAATACATTATTAGATGACAACTCACTTGAAAATACTTGATTTCAGCCATCGTGCCATCCAAATTTAGGGAATAACAAAAGATCCTGATACTAATAAATATATGGTGGTGGTTTTAGAATATACTGTATGCGTGGTGAAAATCTTAGAAAAAATCTTTTGATAATATTAATTGGAATGATAAATTACATTATTTAAGACTACACGCACATAATTTTAGATGTTTTCATAATTTAGATATAATGCATCGGGAAATTATATTTCAGATTTTAGATTAGAAATATTATTGGTGTATTACCTATCGAAGTCGAAGTTGACAAAATGAACAAAATTGTTTACCCACATCGAAACAAATCTCTTCGCAACAAAATGGCTTCACAAGCTAATTCTCACGCTAATAAATTATTACTATTAGCACTATCATCAATTTATTTATATCAATCAAATGCTAATTCGGCTTCTGCTTTAACTCCACAAAAGCGTCATCACAACAACTACAAATTAAAGATAACCTTTTATTGAACCACGATAACGACTCCTACTGTTTCAAATTTTCAAGGTCCCGATGATTCAAGTAATTCAAATCACCAATCAATACAACAGCAATAATAGTTCTTGTGACAAAATCACCTCCTCAATCTAAATATATTATTCTATCAATTGTTAATACTGGACCATTACCACAACGTATAGTTGAGTTAAACAAGATGATTCAGCTGCATCCGGAAATTTTTTTAGGCGTAAATCTCCGTAATATTACGACACCTACGTATATTTTACGGTATTTATACGGAGCAGGTTTGACTTTAAACCGGAATGTATCGGCGGATATCGATTCTACGAAATGAAACATATTTTTTTCTTGTAGCCTAGAACCAGGGCTTTCGATCAGTCATAAGAACATCTTAATAGAAAAATCGCTCCCTGTCTCGCAAATAACGATAGAATTTAAACATAGGATTTTTTTTTGGCGAAAAAAATTGCGTATAAATTCTGGAAAAATTCGATCGCAATTTATGAGAATTTAGATTAAAGGATACGAGATGATGAATGTTTTATCCCTGTAGCACCAATATCCGCTGAGATATACTCGCCCAAAAAATTTTCTGATGTGAAGCATTTATGACACGACGGAAGGTAAATTTTCATTAGATTTCCAAACAAGAAATTTGCGTCACGTAGAAAATTTTAAATTTTATCAGCCTCTTTCGAATAATCCTGAAAATACATCATCAATAACATCATCTTCCTTTGATGAAAAATGAATAATAATAATAATAATTAGTTAAACCGATATTACTGTTTCAGAAATAATTTGGAATTTGGAATCGATGCCGCTTTACCTTTTGCCCATTGATAAATGATTTGCCAAAACAATTATTAATTTGTATCGAACAGCCGAAAATAATAAAAAAAATTTGTAAGTCTTATTGTACAGGGTTATATTTTAAATACATAAACTATGAATATAAATGCTAATAATAAATGCTAATAACCTTCGCCGAGACATTTTATTTTATTTTATTATTTAATAAATTATTTCCGAATAAAATACGGTAAGAAATATACAATTATAATTTTTTAAAAATCAATTAGAAAATAATCATAGTTTAAATTAAAATGAAATAGACAATTTTATTTATTTATTAATATTCTTTACCATTAATGTATCTAAAGTTGACAAACGATTTTTATCATTATTATTACGCCATTCGGATCAGTATTAACAATTTTATTATCGTCAAGTATTAATCCAAATTCTCTAAAACCATATATCCATTTCAATTGGGTTTTTACAATGCGAACAAATAATTCTAATATAAATTATTTCATTACATTTATTTAAATTATTATCCTGAGGTAGTGGAAAAGAAATATTGATGAAATTGACTTCATAATAACATTAATTATAATATTTATTTGTTGAATAAAATTATGTAAATAAAAACTTTTTTTTAAAACAAAAAACCGTGGAATATTCTTTGGCGTGAAAAAAGTTATATTTTCTTTGGGAGCTGCTATTTATATTAGTATTTTTTAACAATTAACGGAGTCTCCTCTTTTTAACCAAAAAAAATATAAAGTTATAAAAAATTTGGCTAATATAAAATCTACCACCTGACTCGCCATTACCTAAAAGGAAATCCATTTCCTAGGGGATAAATAATAAATTTTTACTATTTTTTAAGTTAGATCTAAGTGTGATATTTGTGTCTTTGCTTTCCGTTTATTTTGGATTTTCGTTAATTTTTTTGTCAATGCCCTTTTTCCTTTTTTCCTTTTTTCCTATTTTAAAAATCCAGCCTTTTCTCAATTGGATCTGAGATTTTTCACAGATCGTAGATTTTTCTAAAGACTTCTTGTAAAGTTTGCATTTTCCTTTGACATTTGAACACGTGCTGTTTTTTTCTTACACTACAGATTTCTTCATTATAGGCGTCTGGATATCTTTAGATAGATTTTCAAGAACTGTAGTTCATTATCGAACTATGTGAACTACTGTATAATATGAAGATATCTTTCCATTGTGTAGATTTGTCTAATTAAAAATTCATTGACCTCCATTTGGTCATTTATTAATTCTTTTTTATGGGAATATCCCTATAGTATTATTATACATTTCTTTTTTTATAATTATACAATATTGCACCTGATCATGCACTCTCCTCCTGACCTATTTGATGGGCAAAATCCATAAAGAAATACGTAATACGCTTATCAGTTTACTTTTTTAGGCGTTTTGTCCACATTTAATTGTCTTTTAATACAGTTTTAGTGAATGAAGGTGTACTGTACCTGCTTTAGCTCTAAGATCATATAAATGAATTTCTTATTCCCACACTCTCTAATTCTGAAATCGAGGGTAATGGTTTCAATTAATGATTTAATTGTATATACATCCAGAATATTGGTATCTTTACTAATTCCTGAATAGATTCATTGTCCGCGTCTGCGTTTTACTATTCTTTAATAAAATTTCCTTTCCTTACTGTATTTATTTCTTGTATGATAATGAATATTTATATAAGTAATTATTCCTAATATGATAATTAAATATAGAGGTAAGGGACAGCTGATCCGTTAAGCAGTATCCGAATTGACTAAAATTCAAAAATTATCTTGACATATTAAAATTCGGATCTGCATAAATTCGTTAATGACGTTCAACGAAATTTCATATAAGTTGTTTACCCTTACCCCCTAGGTATTTTTCAATTTAATTTCTATCGATCGAAAAATTTGACCTTTTAATTAATCACTTCGTTATAATTAAGAAAATCAAAAATGGATATATGTGGAGAATGCAATAAAACCTGTTATGGTTGGTGCAAACCATGTAACTCAAAGCATTTCAAAGATAACTTTTGTAAATGGTCAAGTGGAAACGAAATAATAAATAAATTTATTCAAGTTGCTCAACTAAATGCGGACGGTTGGAGGAAAGCGATAGAATGGATACCTTATAATAGATTTAAAGACATTAAAAAAATTGCTAGAGGTGGTTTTGGTACAATTTATTATGCTAAGTGGATTGATGGATGTATTCGTTATTGGAGTAGTTATAATCAACGACAATGGGAGCGAAGTGGTCAATTTGAAGTAATATTAAAAAAACTTGATGATTTTTCAAATTCAAACGAAGAGTTCTTAAACGAAGTAAATATTTTTTTTTGAATCATTATTATGAAATTTTTTGAAATGTATAATTTATTAATTATAATTTATTATTTTAGATAGCGGTTCACTTGAAAGCGATGGATCTCCCAAAATATTCCATCCGAATTTATGGAATAACAAAAGATCAAACTAATAGATACATGATGGTTTTAGAATATATGTCTGATGGAAATCTCAGAGATTATTTAAAAAATCATTTCGATAATATTAGTTGGAATGATAAATTATTTAATTTAACTAATTTAGCATATGATTCTGGACTTTTTCATGATTTAGATATAATACATCAGGATTTTCATCCTGGAAATATTTTATCAAAGAATTTTAAAAGAGATGATTTACATATTTCGGATTTTGGATTAAGTAAAATAGTTGGACAAAGTTCGGAAAATTCTAATAATAGAAATATTATTGGTGTATTGCCCTATATTGCTCCAGAAGTTTTATGTGGAGAAGAATATACAAAGGCAGCTGATGTATTTTCTTTTGGAATTATAGTTTATGAATTTATTACTGGGTTTGCACCGTATTATAATGTGCCGCATGATAGAGACCTAGCGCGACAAATATGTAATGGATTACGACCAAAAATTCCATTTCATACTCCAAAATTAATTACAAGAATTATCATGAGATGTTGGGATGCTCGAGTTACTCATCGACCTACTTTTAATGAATTGTTTAAAGAGTTCAGGAAATACCGTGATGATTATATCGAAAATCGATATCAAAATAATAATGAAATCACAATTCAAATCAACAAGGCTAAAAATTTTTCCAAACACCTATCAAATACAACAACTATAAATCCTTATAATTACCAAACACACTCACAAGCAATTTACACCAGTCGACTTCTTAATTATTCGGGTCTTCCAAAACCTAAAAATGATGAAAATTTTGAAAGGGAACTTAAAGAAACAACTTCCGCATTAAGTGTCGGTAAGTATCAATTATTTTATTATATCATATTTATTTTTTATAATTTCGTTTTATTGATTTTATTTCCATCTTTATTTAGAAGCTTCTGGTCCAATAGTTTACTTTTGAAACGACATTTATAAATCACACCAGTGATTTTCGACCAATAAAAATAAAACATATGATTTAATAGGGATCAGGTGATTAGAAATTATTTCACACGTATGATTATTAGGATATCCAATAAAAAATTTGATATTCGAATGGTGTGACATAAAGTGATAAATACACTACACCTAACCCTAACCTCCCTGCGGCACGAGGTATGAACCGCGACGTGATATAACATTTTCGTTTAAAAGATTTTCATGTTTGATTATTAATATTAGTATGTCTTTATCATCATCATATTTATATGTAATAAATATTGAATATTATTTATAACAAACAAACAAAATAATATAGTCAGCTTCGATACAAGTATTATTAAAATGTAGCGGAAATAATTTTTAAATTTTTTTACAAACACAATTTACACTAGAATTAAATATTTTATTTAAAAAATACCTGTAAAATATTTTTCGATGTGAAAGAAGGAAAGTTATATTTTCTTTAGGTTATATTAGTAATTATTCTTTTATATGATTTTAAATGTTCATTAGTTCATTAGTTCGCGTAATTAAAATTGTAAAACCATATGATATCGGCAATTTTTTATTGTTTTTTTTTTGAGACATGGTCATTCTTCTTTTTTTCTAATTACAAAAACCGAATTGAATCATATGTGATATTACAAATAAATTCATATGTGTATATGTACTTTTTTTAAAAAAAATCAATTTACATAATTGGATTAAATTAAAACGAAAACAGATAATTTTTTTTCAGGTATTATTATTAATATTCAATAAAATGTACGCCAATCGGATCTGGTATCAATCAAATATTAATCCACATATTGAAATTGATCGAAATAATAGAGTCGAAATTGCAATTGCTTCATTATTTAAATATTGTAGTTTGTTGTTGTTGTTCTTGTTGAGGAAGTTTAGGAGAGGAATATTGAACTCGAAGATGACATCATCTTAAATATTAATTATAATTTTTTTTATATTTATCTTTGTAATATTCATGACTCCGAAATAAATTAACACAGTTTTTCATTAGTTCATGTGAATTATTATTTTTTTTTATAGAAAGTATTTAAAATTGTAAAACCATATGATATTCGGTTATTTAAATTTCCTCATTCATCAAAATTAAGAAAATAAAATGGGTATATGTGGAGAACGCAATCGTTAAAATACTACACAAGATTGGTGCGAACCATACAACTCAAAACGTTTCAAAAATAATTTTAATAAGTAATAGATAATTCCAAGATGTTCAACTAACTGCACAAAAGGTAATAGAATGAATTCCTTATCATATATTTAAAGATATTAAAGAGATTGAAAAAGTGGTGTTAGGACTATATATTACGCTAATTGGGTTGATGGATATATTCGATTGTGGAAAAAGATAGGTAAACGTGATGTGGCATTAAAAAATTTGATAATTTTGATAATTTAAATGAAGAGTTATTAAATGAAGTAAAATATTTTTTGAATTACTATTAAACAATTCTTTAAACATATAATATATTAATTATAATTATAAAATACATATTAAGATGGTAATTCACTTGAAAATATTAAGTTATTCCATTCGAATTTCATGGAATAACAAAAGATCTTGAAACTAATAAATATATGATAGTTTAGAATACATGCCTGATGGAAATATTAGAGATTATTTAAAAAATTGTTTCAATAATATTAATTAGAATGATGAATTATTTTATTTAACTGTTAAGAATACTAGCGCAATTTTAGATTTCATCAATTTTTCATCCTGGAAATATTTATCAATTGATTTTAAAAGGCATAATTTATATATTTCAGATTTTGGATTAAGTAAAATAGTTGGGCAAAGTTTAGAAAATTTTGATAATAGAAATATCTTTGATGTATTGCCCTATTTGCTCTAGAAGTTTTATGTTGAGAAGAGTATACAAAGACCGCTGATGTATATTCTTTTGGAATTATAACTTATGAATTAATTACTGTATTATGATGTGCCACATAACAGAGAACTAGCCAGACAAATATGCAATGGATTACGACTAAAAATTACGTTTCATACTCCAAGATTAATTACTAGAATAATTATGAGATGTTGAGATGCTCGTATTAATTATCGGCCCACTTTTTGTGAATTGTGGGAAGAGTTGAAAAAATATGATCGTGATTCTTGAGAAAATCATTTTAAAAATAATAATGAAATTACAATTCAAATTGGTAATGCAGAAATTTTTTCTAAAAATAAGTCAAAAGGTGGATTATGTAGGTTTATTAGGGATAATTCAACAAGCACAACTCCACTTAATTATCAGACCCCAGAAACAATTTATGCAAGTAGACTTCTTAATTATACAAGTCTTCCAGAACCTAAGAATAAAGAAAATTTTGAAAAAGAACTTGAAGAAATAAGCAAATCTGTTTCTGCTTTAAGTGTTTGGTAAGAAATCAAATATATTTATCGTATGAAATAATACATTATATTTAATATTTTTAATTAAATGAATTTTATTTTTATATTTTATAAATTTTTATTATCGCATTTTTATGAATTCAATTAGCTTAAAATATTAATACTATGTATTTCCATCACACACTTATATGAATAAGTTTATAAATGGGATTTTTTGATTATAATAAATTATTTTTCAGCAAACAAAATAATAGAATTATTATTTTTTATTTGCTTAATCACTAAGGTATTAGTCTTCAAAACAAGTAGTATTAAAATATGACGGAAATGAATTTTCAAAATTTTTTTAAAATACAATTCACAT